TCTCACCACTCATCATCCCTCACAACACCCTCATACTCTCAGTCTAAGCGATGAGGCAGCCTCCGCATGCCCCTCATCTCAACGGCCACAAGTCGGACCTATCTTCGAGGGAGAGAAGCAAAGCACAAGAGAAGACTAGCGGGGCGAAACAGTTCACAGGAATGATCATGACCGAGATCATGGCTATATGTATAGTTTTAACTCTGCAGAGTGTGTACACCCGTACCCAATAGGATCACAATCATCGACCGTGGCCACAGTCTAGGCAAACACCGCTCAAGAAATAACACATTCCTCACCAGTCTGCCCCCAAGTGGAGTAGCATACAGCATGACGTATACACTTGGGATCGTGATTAGGGTAGCCGGAAAACCCGTCGGCATCCTTTTTCATCATGCTCCTAGGGGATACCCCCGTGCACCTCTCCTCCCATAGAACTAGCTTAGTCCACACTAACTCAACAGAACGGGCCCTGCCCATTCAGGGCCTATGGCATGCACGTTTAACATAGTCCCATGTCCTAGGCATCAACCCACGACGGTCCTTAATTGGCTAGAGCAAGCACCTTACACAAATACCATGTGTCGCACCTCTCACGGGTAGCCATCACCACACGCTTGTCACATCATATCCATCAGAACCAGATCCGGGGCACTCCACACACCAAGTGCACTCCTCTAGGGTAAATCCTCTCACTCCGGCCGGTATCACCAAAGAAATAGGCCAAGGCAAGGAATATCTCCAAAACTCCTCGGTCACCACCACTCAAATGAGGTTCAACACTCCCATCGTGCCAACCTACCATCTACCTCATGGGGAAGCCTCACGGCAAACCCTGATCCACCAATCACATCACCAACTTATTATCACATCACATAACAAGGCATATATGTAATTATGATGGAAACTAAATGCAAGCAAGCAGGTAGGCAATTTATAAGTGCGAGCGCGAAGCTGGGTAATTAGGGTGAAGGGGTTTTCAATCAAGGCAATCAAGGCTCAGGCAATAGCATGCATCACATATACTAGCAAATGAGTAAAGTAAAGCACTAGCATTTCTACTTGCAATGCCTAATAGGTTTCTCTAAGATAAGGTGCTGACATGACACCTGCGATGTCGAGGTAGTAGTGGTACAAGTCTCTGGAAGTCGAGGTCGTCCACCATCGGGGTCCATCACTTTCGGGTGCATCGTCGGATCCATCCGAGCTCAAGTCGTCGCTACGCAAAGAAAATGCCGAGAACGGCCACCAATAAGAAGCAACAAAACCGCAACAAAAACCTAACTCAACTAGACACAAGAACTGCACTAACAGGTATAGAAGGATTTTGGAAAAATTATGAAACTTGTTTCATAATTTTCGGAGCAAGGATGAATTTATTAGGAATTCTAGAAGTTGGATAGGTTTTTCTGAAAACAGAAAAGGGAAAGGCTAGGGGGAAAACATGGGCTTCCATTTGCCGCCCACCAGGCCACGGCTTGGGCCTGGCGCTACTGGCAGGCTAAATGGCCACTTCGGCCCGATCCAGGCCGCTGAGGAGGGGAAAAGGCTTTAGCTGGGCTTGGCCTTGGGCTGAGTCACGATCGCCTGGACAGGCCTGGTCTGCTGGCGGGCTGGCCTAGGCCAGCTGGGACGTAGGTCCCCTGATGGGCTGCATGGCTCCTACTGGCCTGGTCCTCTCGTGGCCATATGACTAGAGGGCAGGAGCTGCTCCTCAGGTGCTCGACGAAAAGCCCCTAGCGGCGGCGGGTCTGTCTTGGCCTTGGGTCGATGGTCATGGCCGCTAGCGGCAGAGAGGGGTAGGGCGCGGAGTTCATGCAAGGCTGTGCGGGGCTTGTGCATGTGAGAGACGCGTACGAGGCGCCTCCATGGGTGTCGAGCCGCGGTGGTGTTGTGACTGTGCGGCGGTCATAGGGGGCCGGTGGTGGTGAGGCAAGGCGCTCCGGGTCAGAGCGCCGGGTCCAAACGGTGTGCACCGGCAAGGCAAGGTACTACCGATGGCTGGTGCGACGGCGGGTAGGGCATAGTCTAGGTCACCGCCGTGCTGTGCGTGTGCGCACTCATGTGCTGGCGCACCGTCACGACGGCAGACGCCGAGAGGGGGCGAGGAGCGTGAACTCGGCCTGCGCCGGTCGGTGTGGGCGTGATGGTGGTATTCAAACACACGGCCACGATCGTGGGTGGCTTGCGGCGGCGGCGGTGCCAACCCTTGTGGAGCCAGCAGACATGGCCATGGCCATGGTGTGTGGCTATGCGTGTGCCCGACGAGAGCAATCCAGAGCAGCCAGCATGGGGCCATGCCGTGGCATCCGTGCTTGCTTAGAGGTGGCCAGGGCCGAGAAAGCGGTGCCTCTCTATGTGTAGACGTACTAGTGTCTAGGTGGTCGCCTCGGTTGCGGGCATGGTCACTGCCATGGTGACTTCACATGGTGAAGTGCTGCGTGTGTGCACACGCGCAGGCAACGTGGTGGCGCATGCGAGAGCACATGTCCGTGGTTGTGGCACACGACTGGTGTGCATGTGTGATGGCACTATTGTAGTGCAGCGGCCGTGGGTGGTCAGCGGTCGCGGCGTGGCTCCCCTGCAGGGAAGGCTCACCGACACGAAGGCCGAAACAGGCATGGGTAAACGACCGAGGCAAAAAGATGATGGCTTTGGGTCGGACATGCTCACCAGGGGCACGGGGATGGCCGTACGCTCGCTGCCGGGCAAGGTGCTACGGCTCCTCCTTGGTGCAGGCCGGCGCAAGGCTGCACGCCGGTGCGGACAAGGCGCTTGGTGGGGTCGCAGCTTTGCGTGACGGCGTTCCTAGGCGGTGTGGCTTCGTGGCTTGGTCCCGAACGCCGATGGCCATGGTGGTGTGGTCGTGGCAGCTCCACGACGTGTCCCCGTGGACTCACTACGTGAAAAACGGTTTGTAGCAACGGGACATTTTTTGTAGGGGCGGCTGGTGATGGAGCCGCCCCTACAGTGGCGTGCTCGGGAGCCAGAGACCAGCCGCCCCTACAAATGGCACAGTAGGGGCGCCTGGTAATATGAGCCACCCATGCTATGTCTATTTGTAGGGGCGGCTGAATCACCAGCCGCCCCTAAAAACGCTCTTACGAGCAGCTAACCTGGGCCTGGGCCACACCAGCCTTTCTACCCAACCGAGAGGTGCTACAGTGTACTTGCACGCATATAAAACAAAGGGTGCACACTGGCTAGGGTTTGTCACCCGCACTTGTCGCCCCTGGCCTCCTTCCACACGTGCTCTCTCTCCCTCTGACACCAGCGCCGCTGGCCTCCATGCTCCTCTCATGTCGTGAGCTGCTTGGCGCGAGATCGAGGGAGCCACGTCGAGACAAAGCAGCCTAGGGAGGCGAAGGGGCGCACGAAGACTAGGTAGGCCATGGGCGGTGGCGGCGTCTGCGCCGATCCGGGAGACTAGACCGCGTGGATCTGGCCAGAGACCGCGGGCGGCGGTGGTGGCTGTGTGCCCTCCGGCCATGAGCCGGCGGCGGAGGCCGCGGGTGGCGGAGAATGTGTGGCTTGGGACACGAGAGTGCGGTGGAACCTCGTAGGAAGCCATAGGTGGTGGCGGCCGTGTGGGCTTGGATCCGGAGATGGTACCGCAACCCTAACTGCCAAGCTCGCCGCCGGCGCTGCTGCTATTGGTCAGCAGTACAAGAGGACGTCTCCGCATCGCCCTTGGAGATCCCGCCATCGAGGGCTCACCCTAACTGGACGTGGAGAGGTATGCGTTTGTTCATGTATCTTGATTGGTTAATCTACTAATTGGAGATTTGAGATGGCTGGGTGAGGAATCTGAACGCTCCATGCATAGTATGCAGTTTCCACTATCATTTTTGCTAACTGGAATTGTTGTATTTGACATAAGTAACTTAGATTGGAAGATCATCAGTAGCATATGTTTATCTGTATAGAGGGATGCATTTTCCACTATCATTTTTTCTAACTGGAATTGCTCTATTTGACATAAGTAGCTTAGATTGGAAGATCATCAGTAGCATCTAGCATATATATATATATCCACGTTGGTGCTTTTGCATGCAAGTATTGAGGGGATGTAAAAAGTCTCTGGATGGTAAAACTTCCACAGAGCTTGAAGATATGCAAAGTCAAATTGAGTCCCAAATGCGCCTGGGCGCAAAAGTTGTTGAATACTAGGAAGCTATCCTAAAACAAAGGTGCGCTTAGTGGGTCTACGCAAATGCCAATCTATTCATACCATTATACAAAGTAAAACGATGCATTTTTTTTGAAAATAAGGATGCATGGGTTTATTGACTAGACCTCGATAATAGGCAAAAGGCGCTACTTTGCCACCACATCGTTGGTTGGTAACCTACTAGCCTGTGTGGTGCGCTTGCATGATCTCGAACTTCTTTAAAGGCTTATTACAGTAATCCTTTATAATCTAGAGCTGCACTATTGCATTGAACTTTGAATTTTGATTTTGCGTTTATACTTACGAAAAATGCTTGTTTGCATCATCGCAGCTTGCTCGAGGGAGATCCATGCTTCTAGCCTAAGGAAGCATTTACATCGATGGAGCATCCCGGTGTTGTTGAGCAGGATGTGGAATCGAGAAAGAAGATGATAATAAAGCGGAGGATGAGATGCATGAGGACGAAGGTTTACCTTCTTTTTCGATTACTCAATCAACTATGTTTCCAAGATAATGAAGTGATTTCTGATGTATGTTCTATTTGTAGATGATAAGCAATATTCACTGAGCCTATACCTCTCAAAGACACGAAAACCAATTTGAAGAGGAAGATGGATCCTTCTCTCCACAGCTAATGCATTGCAATGAAGATGAAGATGCAATTGATCTTGAAGAGGACAAAGCTGAGCTGTTAGAGTCCTGTGTTTCTATTTCTAATAGTATTAACAGAAATATGATTGGAACTGTACTAGTTATTTGCTGCAGTGCAGTTAACTGAGTAGTTTAATTAGTATAGATTGTTAGTAACTGATGAGATGGAGATGAAGGCATGAAAGCAAAGGCAAGAGTACCTGATGAGATGGAAATGAAGGCCATAAAAACGATGGGAGCTATGGAGGAAGGAGATGCAATATTTGGTGCCGGTGCTGAAGTGAACCTCGATTCACAGGTTTGGATGATTTTCCTTTGATCCCATTGCGTTTTTAGCATGATAACATGACGATAGTTGTATATCTATATTTTCCAATATTCTGCCTTGATACTGGATTAGCGACAGAGTTCTCAGAATTCAACTGGGATATGGCGTGACTGTGACAGTTTTTTAGTGTTGATCCAGAAGGACCGATGGTTATCTTACTATAATCTGGACCATAGATAACACACCTTAAGCTACACCAAAAATTTCAAATAATCTGTTGACTCATGTAATTGTAATTGAGTATATTTTGACAGTTTAATATAGGGGTAATGTCATATTTGAGTTCGATACCATGGGTGGTAACAAGTTTTACACACAAGAAGTGTGATTTAGCAACTTTGGTGCATCCTATCGCATATGAACTCAGCTGGTTTCTGATGGCATATGCTTGTTCAATATGCTCGCAAGTGTACCGGTGGCACGACAAGTATCAACCAAGAAAGCCCAAGTACTTCAATCGGTGCACACTGGATATGAATGGAATAAATACAACCAGACTCATTATGACCATGATAACCCACCGCCTAAAATTGTTCAAGGCTACAAGTTCAATATATTTTACCCTGATCTTGTGGATAAATCAAAAGCACCAACGTACAGTATAGAGAAAGATGGAAGATCGTCAGATTTGAATTATATATATATATATATATATGTTCTGGTCGAATTTAAATTATAAATTTGAATTTTTTTTGCGAAAATATACTGTAGGGGCGGTTCTAGTCTGAACCGCTCCTACAAATAGGTATTATAGACGCGGCGGGTACTACAGCCGCCCCTACAAATCAATTTGTAGAGACGGGTCGCCCTACAAATCGATTTGTAGGGGCGGCTGGTAACATCAGCCGCCTCTACAAATCGATTTGTTAGGGCGGTCTGGAAACCGCCCCTACAAATGCATGATTTGTAGAAACAGTATGGTAGGGGCGGCTGACCGAGCCGCCTCTACAAATGATCTACAACCGCCCCTATAAATGTTTATTGTAGTAGTGACTGCAGCTACGGCTTGAAGGCGGGTACAGGGATTAGGCGACCGGCAAGGAAGAAAGGTTGGGACTTAGGCTCCGATGGACTCACCGGTGAGCCTGATGACAGCAGCTCGCGCGGTGCAGGTCAGGGTCGGAGCAGGCAGGGACGGTGTAGGCAGTGTGCGCGGCCGACGTCCGACGAGGAAGGCCATGCGCAGGTCGTCCGCGGCGGCGAACATGGTGACGACTAAGGTGGCCTCCGGAGCGGGGTCTAATGGCGGTGGACTGCCCGGTGCCGGCGGGGCGAGGTTGAGGTGGCTCGCGGCGATGGATCCGTTGAACGGAGTTGCCGCGGTGCCCAGGGCTCGTCGCGAACGACGGCTCTGGGTGGCTAGAGCGACACCGTGACTGGCTTGGGGTCGCAAAAGAGAGAGGGGCGTCGGGTTGGGCCTGAGGAAGATAGGCCAGCAGGGCCTGATGGCTGTGAGGCAAAGGAGAAAGATTTGTCTATTTAGCTCTAGGGATTTAGAGAAAAGAGGGGCTACCTCCAAGCACAACCAAGAAAAGAACCAAACACTCATGCATCTTGCACTAATTGGGATGCATCAATTTATTATAAACCCAATTTGAAGATGGGAGAGAGTTGGGGTTTTTGTTTTACGAAATAATAAATCAAGTGTAGGGGGTTGCATGTGGAATTCGAGTGCAGCTTGAATTCAACCAAGGTTTTAATTTTCCTTGAAAACATTTTATTTTAAAACACCTCTTGTCACGTAGGTGATCAATCTTCATGACAAGCAGTTCGTTGTAAAAAGTTTTGAAGCTCGGATTTTGAATTTGGGGCTAGAAGGGAAAACATTTGACTTAAGTTTGACCTAACATTTACATGCAACACACATTCAAGCAAAAAATTTCAAAAAGTTAGGATTTGTCTATTACACAAAACTACGGAATGTTACATGACCGTCGTCGATCGATTCTCCAAACACGCGCACTTCATTGCGTTGAGCCACCCCTACATAAAGCCTTCTTTGACAACATTGTCCGGCTCCACGGCTTCCCCATGTTGATCGTCAGCTACCACGATCCTGTGTTCACTGGCAGCATCTGGCGGGACATCTTCAAGCTCGCCGGCATCAAGCTGCGGATGAGCACCGCGTTCCACCCATAGACAGACGGGCAATTAGAGGTGGTGAACAAGACCAGTGCAATGTATTTGTGGTGCGGCATCGGCGACCGTCCACGCGCCTGGCTCGATTGGCTTCCATGGGCTGAGTATTGTTATAATACGTCCAACCACACGGCGCTCCACACCACTCCCTTCGAGGTAGTCTATGGCTGGCCACCGCATGCTCTTCTGCCTTATACTACTGGGTCAGCGCGCACGGACACGGTGCCCGATTCATTCCTCGCCGATGTCCGCGACTGGCTGCTTCAAGCTCAAGAGTACGCCAAGAAGAACTACAACGGCATCACCGGCCCCTGGAGTTCGCCATCAACGACTGGGTGTGGCTCCGCAATCTCCACCGCCTAGCTCAGTCCTTGGTGCCAGGACCGCGCGGCAAGCTCGGACCGTGCTTTGCCGGCCCATTCCAAGTGCTGGAGCGCTTTGGTCCCATCGCGTATCATCTTTGCCTTTCGAACGGTGCCCGCATCCACGACGTGTTCCACATCGGCGTGCTGAAGTCGTACAAGGGCCCTCTGCCGACTGCAACACCTGCTCTTCCGCCGCTCCACAATGGGGGCCTGCTCCATCGCCCCGCGCGTGCCCTGCGCGCCCAGTTGCCTCGTGGCATGTGGCACGTGCTCATCCAGTGCGAGGGCATGGACGACACTGAAGCCACTGGGGAAGCAATTGGCGACTTCAAGGCTCGCTTCCCCTCCTTCCAGCTCGAGGACGAGCTGTTCGTCGAGGGGGGAGTGATGTTATGGTGGGGAACGTCTACCAGCGTTGCAATAAGAATCGTGGCTGAACGGTGGGCCGCGACACGACGTGGCATGGCACACCAGAGCGCGGTCACCAGGGGCGGCAATGCACCTGGACGTTTTCAGGGCGCAGCCGCATTAGTTATCAAGATCTGATGGTTTAGGAGTGTTAGTTCCTTTGATTATTATCCCTTAATGTTAGCTGAGGTTTGTTAGGATTCATGTATAAGTTGGAACACTTTTGCTTAATGAAGGATTAGCCAGGGATTGAGACTAATCTCTCTCTCGCTCTCTGGCACTCTAGCAGTTCTCTCTCGTTCTCTTGCACGTCGCCAGGGGGCTGAGCATGGTGCCGCCAGCTCGTCGACGGGCATTCAAGCCGCGTCCACCGATTAGCCATTTCTACTCCCTTTGCAGCATCCTACGCTCCAACAGACCGATACAAAAGGATCATGTCTTGAACATTGATGAATATTAGAATACCACTGCCGGCATGTGCTTACATGATCAATAAAGCAGTAAAGCACCTTAGCCCAATACGAGCTATCCTGAAGGCTTTCATATGCATGAGCTTTGACTGTTGAAAAGGAGTCGGTTTTAGGCTGTAGTAGATGAACAAAAAGAAAATTTACCACAATTTTGACAATGGTCAGACTAATGATGACAAGGGGCTGGACGAAAAACCAACATAATGTCGAGGATGAAAAAGAGGTGTATAATCTCAATAAAGAGCATGGCGTATTTGATTCTTTTTCTACTGCTTGGGCTAACTGTGTTCAATGTTTCAGTCTTTCTGACTTCATCGTAATACCACAAGAACTATATATTTTTTTCTTTTTCCTAGCAAAAAGGAACTGTCTTTGTGCTAAAACAAAAACAAAAAGACCTTGAATAGAAGGTACAGATGAAAAAGAAATCATTGGGCATTGTTCTTCCAACATTTTTTAGAGTATTATATTTTCCCGCGTATGGGGAACAGTGAAAAAAGAAGGGGGCCAATTTTACGTTGGTTGACTTGAACATGATTTGCGCAGGGTAAATGAGGAAGGTGAGTGAGGCCTTCATGAGGCCATTGGAGTTCATGATCACGGCCGACCGGGTTCACCGTCTGCTTCACAAACCCCTGCACAAACGTGAAGTACGAGCTGAGCTGCAGGCATACGGCAAAACAATTCAGAAATGCGTAGCAACAAGTGATCACTTGCACTTCTTGCAGGTGGTACGGATGGAGGCATGCATGCATTGTAGTGCAGTCACAAGGTCACCTGAACTGAAGCCTGTTGTACACATACTCCTGGAGCAAGACAGGGCAGGAATTAGCTAGCCACCAAAGATGGTAATGTAACTGGGAGAATACTCATGAGCTGTAAAAGTTTCACCGTCAAGAAAATTTTTGCAGGCAGTGAAATTAAAGCATGGGGAAATTCTTCCAGGGAACGCTTGCGACAGTTTCAGAAAACCACGCTGACCAAGCAAGTGTATAAAAGTCCATGACGATGGAAGCAAAAGGAGGGAAGAAAAAAATGGTCTATCTATGAGTTAAAACGACTTGAGAATATCTAGACATGTGGATCACAAGATCAGTAAGCTAAGGTTGCCTTACTCTCAGTTCAATATCTCTTCAAAAAAAGGATAATAAGTTCATTATGTCCGAGGAACTAAATTAGAAACCTTAATCTAAATTCCACTGTCCACAACTATAGGTAGAGTGGGGGGCAGCCACCCATTAGTACAACACAATTGCATACTAGCATGCAAAATACACACAGAACCACCAAAATGTTTGGATGGCAGTTTTTACACCAAAATAATGTCCTTGAGAAGAAAAGATGATTCCCGATGATACTAATTATCAGAGGAAAGGAAATTTCTTTGCAAAAATAGAGGGCACTGGGTAGGTAGCTTACTCTGAAGGCTGAAATGAGAGTGGTGAAGTTGGAAGGTCTCGGCTGCAGCTGGGTCCCCAGGCACGGGCTTCTCCCCTTCCTGGCGTACCTCTCGGTTAGTTCGCTGTCGTATGGTACCTCCCGGAGGCTGGGCTTGGTGAGGGAGGAGGCGGAGAAGGAGCGACCGAAGGGCGACTCCGAGGCAAAGACGTCGATGCAGGTGTGCGGCGGCGAGGACGGCGGGCAGTCAAGCTCATGCTCCAGCCCGTGCGGCGGCGAGAAAATTGCATATTTGCGACTCCAAACAATGCACTTCGCAGATTTAGAACT